TAGATACAGATACTTGGATTCTTTTTACATGGAAAGCAATAAAAACAAATAAGTTTCTAGGAAGCTATAACAATTCCATATGCACAACAAAATACAACTTTAGCACACAAAGATACCAAATTCATAATTGTAGTTATTGAAAAAGAAAATACCAAGTAATAATACTTAACTAATTAGGTATTTATTATACGAAAAAGTTCAAACTTACACCCAAGAACTTGTTCCATTTATACGTCCTTTTTTATCTTCTATTCTAAGAGTTTTCATCACCCTCTTCATATTACCATTTATAATAAGCTCCACTTCTAGATCATCAAATGGCCAACATGCATGCAAGTATTGGACACATATCCCACACCCACATGAATATCATATCATATCCAACATGAGTATGGCACTAAAATTAAAAACTCAAGAAGATCTTCCTATGTTGAATAGAGAATTGTGCATATTAATTTCAGGACACATGTCACTTGAGAGGCTGCAATTTTGTTTTCATCAGAAATTATGTATATCTATGAGTTATCAAAAAAAATATGAAGTGGTGGTATAAAGTGCAGATATGTTGTGTGTAATTTTTTTAAAAAAATTAAGTTATATCAGCTGATCAATTACTTGTCTATTCCTCACTTGATGAGGACATCCTGCTGGAATAAAAACAGCCTCTCCAAGGTGTTGCTCAAACGTCCATGGTTCCACATCTGAATAAAATTGTATCAGATATTCAGCAGGAGAGTTCTGTAAAATTGCAATAATGACCAGGATATATATAAATAGATTCTTACTAAATTCTTCCTTCAGCTGTTTCTTGTGCCTCTCATTCAGGAAAAGGGTCTGATCATGAATAGGATGAATAACCTGAAATAAGCACAAATAAGCAATCCAATGCTCTTACATGACGAAAATATATTTAACAAATAACCAACAAACAATAGGCACTCACAGAATCAACAGGATGATTATTAATGTGGCGAAATTCCTTCTTGTGCTTTTCTAAGTATTGAATTACTTTTGGAACATCCTGCCTACGGAAAATATCCCAGACAGCACCACCATGAACAACGTTTGATCTGCCATTGTCTTCTAACTCCATTACTGCATCTGGATCAGACCCTCTCAATTTTGGATCATTGCCTTCATCAACGGCTGAAGAAGAGGTGGACAGATCGTCTTTCGCATTAGTAACTCTGTTACTACTAGATGCAGTATTGGCCAGATGATACAAATCTACATCTACTCCACAAGGAAAACTTTGAGCTGCAGCTTTCTCATTACTAGTTCCAAACATGCCCACTTCGATACTAACATTGGGAGAAACAGAATTGTCCAGAATAGATCCTTCCTTATAACCAGGAACATCTAAAGCTGAAGGATTTGATACTTGCAAAGTCGAACTTGATTGTTCTTTATCAAGTTTCTTCACCTTCACATCTTCTTGTTCCAAGAGAAGATGACCATTCTCCAAACCGTTACTATTGCTTTTACAGTTAGCAACCATGATATTATCTTCATGAATTCTTTTCAGCAATATCTTTCCAAATTCACCGGCTCCTTTATCTAGACCATGGAGTTCAAGTGCATCTTCAGCCGCATGTTTTTTCTGCACTGTCTTAATCTTTTTGCATTGCCAGGGAGCAATGTTCACCTTAGTTGTATGTGTCAACAGGTTTACCTAAATGAAATTATTAAAAAAATTAATATTACAGCATTGGAGGAACAGTGGCATCCTTTTATCACAAATATAAGAATCCTATGCACATTAGCATATAGGCAGCTTCAAAGTCTTCTAGTAAATCAAAAGAATTCCAAAAGCAGACCAACCAATCCTTTGCTTGGAGCAACAAAACTATGAAGTTTAATTCTAAATACAAATGAATTGAATAATAAATTTATTTAGAGAAAATTTTTTTATGCTAGATCAAATCATGAAATTTTAATATATGTTGTGAAATTCAATTAAATTTCTGCATTTAAAACATATCTTCTAGTAAATCAAAAGAATTCCAAAAGCAGACCAACCAAGCCTTTGTTTGGAGAAACAAAACTATAAAGTTTCATTCATTTATAAATGAATCGAATAATAAATTTATTTAGAGAACAAAATTTTATGTTAGATCAAATCATGATATTTTAATATATGTTGTGAAATTCCATTAACTTTCTGCATTTAAAACATATTTAACTTCAATTAAATTTGATTTTTTCACTTTAACGCTTAATTCAACTCATAAACCCACAAGGGAAACCACCATCAAATTCATTTCAGAGATATAAAGGTAATTTTAGCTTATCTCCACAGTTTGAAGTCAAGTTCCAAAATTCATCAAATTTGATAGATTGTAACTATACTAGATCACTTCGAGATAAAATTCGTCTCAGGACGAATCTTATCATTTGGGCTACTTCCATATAAAATGGGACATGACAACGAACTTCACAATTTTTTTTTGTAAAATTCTTTTAATTCAAACATATTGTGAACATACTGAAAAATCAACAGGTGTATACTTCACTTACTAATTCAGCATCAACACTTCGAGTGTAACAGAATAGTTATTTGTTAAGGTAAACTGTAGAAACGCAGAACCCTGAGGTGAAAAGAGTTAAAAAATCTCCTTCTTAAAGCTCATCTCAGATGCTGGATAGATGCAAGAACATAAAAGCATCAACTAGAAAAGAAGTGGGCTACAAGTAATATGGCTACTCGGACAATAGAAACAGAATTAATAAGGACAAAAGCTTGGTCAAAAAGAGTTTGTTTAAATTGATAATATGTATTCGAGAGAGGTTAAAAGTATGATAGCAGTAAAGCTACAAAGAAAAGTTAAGGAAGAGGAACCACAAGTAATTTGCAAAGAAAAAACCATTAATATACTCCCTCGGCTTTTTTAAGTACCATAAAATGGTTCTAAAAAGGGTGCCATAAAACGGATTACATTCAATGCCTCTTTTCATTTCATTTTTTCTTTTCTTTTTTAATATTCCCACCCTGTGAAAAATGGCTTATGTAAATAAATGAACAGTTAAGAACCTACTCAGACAGTAAGCCAGGATGAAAAGGAAACGGAATCCCAGTTTAAAATCTGTTCAATTAGGTCAATAAGCAAATTGGAATATTCCAATGAAATATTCCAATAAAGCAAATTGTAAACCAGTTAACCTCCATCATCAGTTTTACTCACAACAGTTCCACTATGTAATAGAAACCAGCTATAGCAAGAGGACCATCAGAACAGCAGACACAATCTGTCTCAATAGTTAAGCTAGAATTATAGGATGAAAAATTTCCAGTAATACAGAAACTTTACCGCGTCTGACATATCACAGTGCAGTTTCGTTACTGAATCACCTCTTCCAAGCTCATTGGAGAAACCATATGCGATATATGTTTTGGGTCCCAAATCTGGCTTTAATGATTCCTCTGGAAGTCTTGAAACAAGATTTAAAGCACCTGACTTTGGGTCAGTATAGTTATTGAAAGGAAGTGCTGCAATAAATTCAGCATTATGCCTAGGCAAACGATCCTCAAACAAAGTCGATG